CCGTCCTTCCCAGGTAGACCCTAAACATATGGAAAGTAACAGCATGCAGATTTTGGTCCCAGACCTGCAAACCCAAACAACTTCATGCAGCACTAGCCTTCTGTACAGCTTGAGGGAGTCCCCAGTTGCCAGCACACACAAACATGCATCAGTTCCCTTTTGCCTGATTTTTCAAAGCCAGCATGGAGCAGGATATATCAAAACACCAACATAAAAGATCTGAAGATGATTCTCTGCTAGATCTCTTCCTTCGTTCTAATCATTTAGTTGCATATTAATTAACCAAGTGGATGATGCATGCTGGTGGACTCACCCTCTCTCCTTTCTCTCCCTTTATAGTAAAGCTGTATGGGTCATAGCCTCCACGAGCTGGTGAGCCCCTGAAGCTCTTAAAAGGAAAACAGAACAAATGATAATGAAATTATTGTCTGCCAAAGGATGGCAAATAAACCCAAACCAGAATGACCATGAAACCCAGACTAGCACACCCCTTGGCTTATGCAACAGTAGAAAGAAGCAAGTTTGACCATCCAGGGGACCTGTTCATATCCTCACACCGTTCAAAGTCCCTTGGAAGTCATGCATTATTTATTGTGTCTCCAGCTTGTGTCTTGAAATTGGGAGAACAGGATGGAGAACACAGGGTTGTGTGAGGACAAAATGCAGTCAGGGAGCATACTGATGCCTCATGAAGTCTTGGCCCATGTTCTGCCTACAGATCAGGTTCTTCTTTTTGGCTGTGGAAAGGAGTTTGGCAGAGATGAAATAATGACTCTAATTCAACCATGCATGGACAACATTCATTTCACCTAATTTTAGACTGCTGTAGCATAAACATCACCATCTGAGCTATTCTGCCAGTGTGGACACCTACCTATGAACTGAAGCATGACCAGACTTTGCTGACCACACTGACTAGCTCCACCAACTACTATGGAGACTCATTTTCTGCAGCGAAGCTAACACAGACTGTTCAGACTTGCTGGCTACAGCACCATCAGTAAACTCACTAGACCAGCACATGGGTTCTAGGGCTGTCCTACTGTTCTTCATGTCTTCTGGCTTTCTGCTTCGTAGAAGGAGGGGGTAAATTTGCCTCTCGACATTTTTTTTCTGAAGTAAGGAGCAGTAGTAGCTTGGCGGTCTGTTCAGTGGCTCACATGGAGTCTAGAGCTACCTGAGATGCCACAGAACATCTGGGACATCTGCATGGGGCTGGCAGATATGAAGCAGGATCTATGGAAGACCTGCATTTCATTGGTTTGCTGGGAAGAAGCACAGGAGGCTGCTGCATTTTCCATGCTGAAGTGGCAGCTTCTAGGATGACCTCCCCAAACACGGACATGGTTTCCAAAGTTAAAGGTCTTGACACTGATATAATGCCACCGCACACCACATACGTATGAGAAGTGACCTGATCAGAGCAGTGATCAATATGTTTCTTTGAATCCCCTGAACAGATACCAGTGAACTAATTCTCACCTTTAAACACCAGGGACCACAAGCCTCCTCTTTTTTTTGGATATGTGGTTCAGCTGATGATGGGTCAGGGATGTGTGGCTTGCTCTCTGTGTCACCAAATGGTGATTGCTTGTTGGCTTCATGTCTGGCAACCTACAGCATGGAGTTTGGCTTAGATTAGTGATCCTGCAGGTTTTGGAACCAGACATCAAACACCAACCTTCAACAGGTCTCAAGGGGTCACTGCACTCTTATATCACCAACCTTTTCATTGGAAAGGCCATAAAATATCACTGTTGGAGATACTCTGCAGATGAGCTCACATCCATACCAATGACCCATCAACCAGAGTTAGAAAAGGGCAATGAATTTATAATCCATTCAAGTGCTCTGCCCCTGCAGTGGCCTTATGCAACAAAACTTTTGCAGCTGTATTCCGGCTTCCCCAATTCCACTCCCTTGATTTCAAAGATTTTGTTCCTCATCTCTAGGGTTGGACAATAAGTGAGGGCAGGATTGCACCCAGTGTCCCAAATCTGTTCTGACTTTGCTTTGAAACTTTGCTCAGGGAAGAAGATTGCCCTTGTGCATGACCTGCACCAAGCAAGTTGGCTTATATTCAAAGGGCTGTGAAGCAACTCACCTCCCCAGATGGTAGCTGGGCTCCTGAAGGCTGAGGGTCAGAACAAATGACTTCTATCAGCTCTCGGAGGATCTGGGGGAAGTCATCAAATGTGCTGACGTAGAAAACGTTCTGGAGGTTCTGCTGCAGCAAGATGGTGTTGAGCTCAATGGGGTCAGCTCCTGAGACACCCACAGCAATGACGCGGATCCCTGAAACACATCGCTCACTCAATGGAAGCAAAAATGTTTGAGATCAGAGTTTCCAAACCCCTCATCACAAGTTAATAACCTCTGTTGGGATTAGCTACTCCAGTGGCCACGTGAGAACTCACCTGAAGCAGCATGTGTGAGTTATAGCAAACCAAGATACTCAAGCTAGGAACAGAGAGAAGAAAGGATAATGGAGCGAAGAAAGCCAACAATGCACTGAAAGTGCACACATCACATAACGTACTACCCTCAAACCCCTGGAGATTCTTGGAGAACCAAGGCCTTTGGGAAACGCGACAGGGCAACTCTTACCCAAAGCATGGGCTACTCTGGCTGGTGGCAACACATCATCCTGGGATTGCCCATCTGTCACAAGCACCAGCACATGAGGGAAATCTGGTCTCATCCCTCTGGAGGACTGAAATAACTCCTTCAGCATGTAGGCTATACCACGACCTGGGCAAACATGGAGAAGGATAGTCTAAATCTGCCTGTTAGGTCTGCAGGTGGGAACTGTGTGTCCCCTTCCACCAATGGGAAAAAAAAGGGCATTCAGTGTGGCCCCATAAATGGATAGTAGCCCCTAGCATGGGACAACATCATTTGAGGGAGACAGCAGTAAATCAGATTGGCTGAAATGGTTTAGACTGAGTTTAGCAAATAGTTTTGGAAAGGAAAAAATAATACATTTAGGAGACCTGAAGCATTTTCTTTGCATTTTAGGAAAGCCCCCACAGAATTCCCATTTTCAAATTTCTTTAGAAAGACCAGGAAAGTTTCACAAAGAACTCTCAATGAAACTGAAATGGTTAAGAAGCCCCCAAACAGTATGGAAAGACTCCTATGATGGGTAAAATGCCTCTGCTGACACAACCTCTGTAAAAAGAAGGATCAGAGGCAAGGTTACCTAGGAATTTGCAGTCTGACCAGTTTCACGCCTACTTTTCCTAACCAGTCCCATCGAAATTCTTGTATTTTTTTGTGTTCCTGACCAATACCACTGAGCCAGGATGAGGTATGTAAGCCTTCAATTAACAAACATGGGTGCCTCAAGGCTCCCTTTTATGTTGACTGACTGGAAGACATTAATTGGGCCATTGAAGAAAGGTAAAGTTAAAACTAACTACCTTCAATTTAATATTGCTTGTGTACCTTCAGGGAATCAAGTATACCTTATTGTCCTGCTGGGAACAAGTAGGTGGAAAGTCCTGTCTGTCTCTGAGCATTTAACTACCTAAGACAAAAGTGCGTGAATTTTGGAGATGCTTTGCTGATGAAGAGCTGTGTTATTTGCACAAGAGAGGTCAACAAAGGACATTTATGTGGTGACACACCATGAAAATAGGACGGGGCACATTGTTTTGTTGTTAGGGTAACAAGGCAATAACTGTTGGAATTTGCTGATTAAAATGTGCATACAGTGGGCAATAAGGATGCTTTAGCATCAACTATCCTTACCTAATGTTTATGGGCTTTGTCTCCAAGCCAGGTATAAAAACCTCCCTTGTGTGCAGGCAAAGTTATAAAATAATGAAGAGAAACCCAGTAGTAAAACTAGGACATGAATAAAGGACATCAGGCTAGTTGGAAAGACTATCCCTGGAAATCAAACTAAATTCAATCCTCTATTCTCAAATTTTGAAGAACTTTGGGACTTAACTTTCTAACTAGGTAAACGGGTTCAAAAACCTCAGACAAATGCCATCCCTGGTCTCCAGCCTCTGTCTTGGTCCAGAAGGCCCACCCCGTCTGTGCAGCTCACCTGTTTTTGTGTTGCCTCCAGCATAGTGCAGCCCCTTGATGGCTTTCAGGGCACTGTTGCGGTCCCGGTGCTGGTTGAAGTGGAAGGCCGCCCTGGGCTCCTCGCTGTACTGTGCAACAGCAACCTGCCAAAGAAAAAGGGGTTAAAAAACCACGGAGAGCTCAGGAAGACAGCAAAGGTGCCATCACTCCATAAACTGCCTTGAGTTAGATAATACAACTGGTTGCAGTGCAACAGGAGTGGAAAGAGGTTGTGTTTCTTGCAGGGTAAAAACAGGCACAAGAACGGCTCTCAGGTTGGCAGCACATGGGGCACAATCCATATGCTTAAGGGTGGGCGTGGTACTATTTCAGATTCTCTTGGGCGTCAGAGATTTCTGCAGAGGCTGGTGGACACAGCACAAGACTAATGGGAGACCTGAGCACTTTGGGCAGCTCATGGCTGGGTGGGAGCATCTCCTGCTGCAGCACCTCCCATGTCAGCACCCATCCCTCCTGCATTAAACCCTTGATCTCTGCTGACCACAAAAGGAAGCCAGCTACTCAATTCATATTATAGCCACGTAAATCAAAATATCTTCGTGTCCCCAGAATTACTTGTTAACCCAAAGTAACTTCATCATAAACCTTCAAGACTACCTGCAAGCCAAGAGTGCAAGAAGTTCCCCACTCCTGATCAACTGAAGATAAGCTATGTAGGTCTCCCTTTCAAGGGGCTAGTTCAGATATCACATTAATTAAACACAAATGACCCGAAATAAATTATCTACTGAGTCTTCCCATTGGCTTTGCTGAGTTGTCATTTAATGCTGAAGGCTTCATTTGCCCTTGAGGTGCTTCACAGCATGGCCTGGGGATCTGGTCCTCTGCTTATCTAGAGGTTGCAGCTGCTGGTGTGTGCTCTGTCTCCCACCTGGGCCCCCACCTGGGTCTCTAACCATTAGCAGTCTGGATGTGGGCAGAAATGGGGTCCTAGAGGGGCACCCATAGTTGACATATCCCTGAGCTCCATAACGTAGACAGCATTTCAGTAGGTCTAAGATTTTCTTTATTTCTGATGACTTGGTCATGGAAAAATAACCAAGAAATGGAAATATATCCAAATAAGTAAGCTGAGATTTAGGAGATTTTTATTCATGTTTTTGTTAGACACATGTGTTTTTAGGCAAAGCACTTAGCCTTTCTGAGCCACCACATGTGAGTGAGCAGACTGCTGTCATCACAGGGGTGAGCAAAAGGCAAACACCTGGAAGGAAAACACCTTCAGGAAGGAGAATAACAAAATCTTGCCTGTGTCCCTTCAGGCCCAATCTTAGGGAAATAGGAAATGATCCGGAAGATGAAATCCTTCACTTTATTGAAATTGCTCTGGCCAATACTTGAGGACTCGTCCACCAGGAACCCAATGTCTGCTTTGAACTTGCCACAGACTGCAGAGGGAAGAGAGGATCTCAGTAAGCTGGTGGGTCCTAAAGCAGAAGCATGTTTCTTTAGGTTCAGAGCAACAAAACAAACCCAAGCACAAATACCTCTTGCGATGCCGAGTGCTGGTGAGTGAGCAGGCAGCACCTTCACCCCACAGGGTAGTGCTTAGAGCTCCACTGAATTTTATGGGGTTTGTGTCTTCCCCTTCCCTGACATTGGCCACTGTCACTACTCAGTGAATGAAGACCAGTTTTGGCTCCTCAGATCAGAGAAGACCATGGTCCCTGGTGGTTTTGATCTACATCATCACCAAATCACACATGCATACACACTCACTTGGCCCAGGGTGAGTTGTCAGCAGTGTAGACACTACAGTGGTCGATAGTAGGGTCTGTGGAGTTGGTGGCAGCGTTGTGGTGGTGGCCAGTGGAAGAGGAGGGGTGCCCACATTGCTAGGTGACATGGATGGGGATCTCATCGTATCCAATTTTGTAGAAGTCACGGGAGTGACTGGCGTAGGTGACTCTCTGTGAGGTCCCACTGTAAGAGGCAAACAGAAAAGGTGTTTTTGGTTATGATGCCACTATCTAGCCAAGCGTCAGAAGGGTAGAGACGCCAAGAAGTTAGCCTCAATAGCAGTTACCTAGGTAAAAGTGCAACACAAGTCTCGAGCCTTCATACCTGTTTGCCCAAGGAGCGTTGTCTCTGGTCCCTCCGTATCTCCAAAGACTGGTCGTATAGAAAACAAATACATTTCTTTCGCGCTCAGTCCTGTCACTCGATACGATCTAGAAGCTGCTGATAACAGTTCCTGGGAAAGATCAGAAGCTGTGAAAAAGGAAGAAACGTGCATTGACTGGGAGCCAGAGAAACTCAACTCCCATTTCTGTAGCATCCCATCTTCTGATGCCACCACCTTTGGCAAACAGGAGCTTGGGGACAAGTGTGGGCTTTGGAACAGAGGCTCTTGGTAAGACGTTTGTAAACTGCAATGGTCAGGCCCTAAAACAGAAGGAATAAGGTTGTTTGTGTCTGACAAGGGAGATCTTGAGTACACGAACAGGAAAAGAAAATGGGAATTTGTACAACTGTTCAGAGAGGGCATTTGGTCCAGGTGGTGTCCGAGGCTGAGCGCTGTGATAGACCAATGGTTTGCAGCAGTTAGCATGTATAGAAACAGAATTCTTTTTTGTTAATAAATGGAAAGTTTGCTGAAAAGTAGAATCAAACTTACTTGAGAAATTTGGTCACATACAATAGATAGTTTTGATTTAAAATAATGATAGGAAAAAATCCATGAAAATGTCAGAATAATGTTTTGACATTTTATAAGTGTCTGTCTTTGGAAAAACTGACTGATGAATTTTGACACTGTTCAAAGTGCAACTTGCAGCTTTTCATTCTGAAATAGCATTTTCCCTTTAAAGCCAAAACCAACCAAACATAAAAGCTTCGTTTCTACCACAAGAAATTAAATTGGTATATATAATCTGTTTCATTTTCATTAAATGTTCTCAGCTACCCCCAAAAATTTTGGAAAGGAGGTTTTGCTCCTTTAGAAAAACAAACCACACCCTCTTGCAGTTTGACTCAAACTCGTCTATCCTCCTCTCCTTTTGGGTAGGCAAGTAAAAATAATAATAATTGGTTTAGATGCCATGTTACCTTGTCTGAAGAGATCTGCTGTATGAAACACAAGCTGACAGCTCTGCTGAAGCACAGATCTACGGCAGTCCACCACCCACTCTGCCTGCCTAGACCCCCAAACAGGCAAGCTCAGTTACCAGGAGATACCTGGATCATACCCAGAGAGGGATGCCCTGGCAAGTGCATGCAGGAAGAAGTGTGCAACCTTTGGAGAAGGAAGATGGTCTTTGCTGAGGTCAATTTTCTGTGAAGAATGAAGCTGATATTTTTTGCAAGGGACAAGGCTGTGAGGCTTAAGGTGCAAATGCAAGATTAAATGAGCTTCTATTGATTATGTGGATAAGAAAATCATGACTTTGGTACTCCAAGAACAGTCAGGAGAAGATAGAAAGAAGACAGAGGAGGGCAGCGTCCAGCTGAACTTCTCCAAGGTCCATCCTGTCGCATGGGGGAGGAAGGCTCTGGACGGAGCCCCGTAGACATGGGTTTGGTTTTGTGTAACACACTGGACAGAGGAGATCTACAGCTGGAACGACCTCAAGCTGTGGAGAAGGCGACCCAATCTTTTATAGGGCAGGCTGGCTAGAGTCAGCCAGCAGGGAGGAGGGCATTAAATGAGCTTAAAAGGGGGACAAGGGAAAAGGATAATAAGTGAGTACTCATTAGAAAAAAATCAAGTTGTGGAGAAGAAAATTAATCAAGGCACCAAGAGACAAAAAAAAAGAACAAAATTCTTAATTGCCTTTATACACTAATGCTGGCAGCCTGGATAATTAAACAAGAGAAATTGGAATTACTCACTTATGAGCATAAATTTGATCTCGTTGGTATTATTGAAATGTGGTGGCAAGATTCATCTGATTGGAATGTTAAATCAATAGTTATAAACTTATTTCAGAAGAATCGATCGAGTGAGGGCATGGGGGGACTGTCAGACACGGTATTATCCATTTCTGAGCCCCTGACAACTCTGAAACCAATGATTTTTGAATACTTACGGATCGATATTTTAACAGCATGGCACAGGAGGGGAACAGTTGCATTAGATCACTTAAATCACCCTTGAGAACTGAATGTTCGGTTCCCTAATCACTTATCCATAATATGTAGAGCAAAAAAATGATGCTACCACAGGAGACTTCATCCTGAGTGACATATGCTGCAAGTCTTAAGCTGCCAATACCAAAATGTCCTTGGAATTAAAAAAAATTAAAGCTGACGACCTGGTAAGTCAAAAAGCACTGCAGGGAGCACAAGGGAATTGTGTCAGATTCATTTTCTTTATTGACTTGTGAAGATGAACTGATCCCTAGCAAAAAGTTAGTGGCTGAAGCAACAATGACAAGAAACTTGCTATATTCAAAGAGGTTTAAGCCCGCTCCAGGAAAAAAATAATATAGCTGGTGCTTTAAAAGGGCAAATCCTGTAAGGCCAAATCAATTGGAAACAGAAATGTACACTAGAAATTGTGAGCAATGATTAAGAAAGTTTTAAAAGCTCTTTACTATATAGCAAAGCTTTTAAACCGAAAAGAATTAAGGTGGTATGGATGACAAAAACCAACTGTTTTTTGGTTCAATGCAACTATCCCTGATGGACAGGTAGTGACTCTAGAGGAAGAGGCACTGACAATGCCAACCGGCAGGGTTTTTCCTAAGCAATTTTCACGTCTCCTTTTTCTTCCCTCAAGGATTTCGCAATGGCCAAATGTGTCATCTTGTGAGCCTCCCCAGTGGGCCAACTTCCATTCCCCCCCCCGGCTTTTTCACCCAAATGAAGAAGCTGAGATGAAGGGATATGACGTATGGAAGTCTCCAGGGTCAAACCTCTGCTCTCTTGCTAAACAGGGTCGATGGGTTGAAAAGAAGGAACAGTGTTGGTGCCAACAGTGACAGCATCATTTCCCCCAGATCAAAAGGGGCAGCACTCGGAGACATAGGTCATGACACTTGAAGGAAACAGTAGCTACTTAAAGCTGGTGGTGGAGAGGAATTTCCCCCTTAACTATTGCCACTTGCATCTCCTGCAGCATCAGCTGGCTCTAACACCAGGTACTGAATCAAACAGACCTCAGGGCAAGCCAGATACATCCATGGTCCATCCTCAAATCCCCTTGGGTGATGGAGGAGCTCACACAGGTGGGAACCAAATTACAAGCCATCCTTCCTCTCCCCACCAAAAAAACATTACCTGAGGACAAGTGCCATGTTAATAGGTACGTGGATGCTCCAGGAACAGCTGCCCAAGTCAGCAAAACGCTGGTCTCCGCAGCCTCCTGCACCGTGAACTCAGTCACTTTGGGTAAATCCACTGTTGGGAAAGAAGAAGAAAGCTTAGGATGGGTAGAAGCTACCACCAAAAGCTTGACTGAGCTGAAAGGAAGCTGATTCACCCTTTGGGAGGTTCAAATCTCGACCTCACTGAAATCAAAGGCAAAAAGTCCAGATAGAAGTGATGAGCATGAAGCACATCTCTGCTACACTTGTCCAGACACCTCCAGCTGCTGGTGAATCTCTCAGATGATATCTACCCCAGGGTGCAAAGACGCGTGTGCCAGGAAACACACCTTAGCCTGCAGCCAGCTTTGGAGACCTTCTGCCTCCTTAAATACCGCGTTTCTGGTGAGAGAAAGGAGTCCCTGCAGCACTTTAAGGGTTTTCCAGAAAGCTGAGTCAGATCAGATCCTCAGCTGGTGGGAATTGATGGTGTTTTTGCAAATAACTGTTGGCAGATCTTCATCCTGGACTGCTGAGTGTGTCGCCAAACTGATTGTGAAACTTGAGCTATTGAGATGGACTATAAAGTTTTTGCCTGCTCACTTGTACCAGACACTAGTGCTCCCTGAACGCACAGCATTGGCTCCACATCCCTGATCTTCTCCACCACTTGATCTCCAAATCTGCCTATACTGCAGCATCAATCAAGTCACATGATGCCACAGAGTCACGAGTAATGTTTGCCTTTATCTATTGGAAATGGTCAAGATATTGTAAGTAAAGAGGTAATTCCAAGATAATGCGTCACAAAAATAACATCTCATGGTGATTACTGGCAGGGGAAGATGGGCAAAGTCCCAATGTTTCTCAGTAATAAGAAAGGACCAATGCATGTTTTCTCACATGCTGGCTGGTGGGACCTGAGAAGTACTAAGCTGTCTGTCAGCCAGTATTGCACTTTTTCCATCCTCACCTCCCATCACAGCCCCTGGGAAAAGACAGCCCCCAGCACTAATGTGGAGATAATCTTGTCCCCATCCACCGGTCCTGTACTCACAGGTTTTGGCTGTGAGGAGCGTGGGACTTCCCTCCCGTCCCTCAATCATTGCAGACATGCAGATGGTGTAGGTGGTGCTCTCCTTCAGTTTGGGGATCGTGAAGGAGACTGTCTCTGCTGCAACAAGCTGGGAGGTTTCCAAGCCACCTAAGAGGAGACATTCAAAAAACCCCACAGTGTACATAGAAATGGCAAAGTAATTCCTATGAACAATCATTGTTACAGCAGCTTCCTGACACAGATCTTATGGGACCAGGCCAGGGAGGAGAGTTATGAGTTCATTTTGCATATGGGGAAACTGAGGCACGGGCAGGTGAGACATCTGGTCACAAAGGCATCACGTGCTGTTGGAAGGGAACTGCTTCTTTGGCTTCCCAAATCCCCACTATGCCTACATCCAACGGATATCTTTGTCAGAGACTAAAACCTGGCTCAGTCACAGGACTTCAGCCTGCCCCTGTAGACATTACAGTCCCCATCTACCCCAATCATCTGCAGGAAAAGGAATGAGTTGAGCTAAGCTCCTATTTTCTGAGGTTCCTTGTGCTCTGTCCTCATACCGCACCTGACTAAGAGACCAGGTTGCTCACCATGGAATGGCACCCAGGATATCTTATAGTGAGTTACTCCAGGAAGCCTCCTCCAAGACAGCTTCAAGCTATTTACACTACTGTCAGTAACCCTCAGATCTTGGATGGTCTGGATGGGGTTGGAATCTGCAAAAGATGCTGCAAAAATGAACCAGGATAAGATGTCTGAAGTAATAGCTCAAGTTACACAGTACCATGGTTTTAAGCTATGGTGCTGAAGAAAGATTTGTGTATTCAAGCAACATCTACTTTCCAAACATTATCTAGGGATGCCTGACTGCATTTCCTAAAGAATCCATGGAGAGGAGCACCGTGCAGTTAAGTTGAGGATCTCATCCACATCTCTTGCTGCCTGCACCAAACTCTGGTGACACAACACAGGGACATGAGCAGGAGGCCAAGAGAGGACAGATCATCCAGATGCATCTTCAAACACCATGTGATTCAGATGAACTCACGTGAAAAAGACACTGGAAGGACCCAGGACCCCAAGTTTGAAGAGGCAGAGCTACAAATCAAGGAATGGCAAATCTCAAGAGTGCATGCTGTTGAGTTGACCCTGAGTGGTGCCTGCAGAGAGACTCCTACCTTCCTGACATGGCTGTGGATAAATAAGACTGAGGAGCGTGTTAATACGTCCAGGGTTGCCTACCTATGCCAAGCCTGTTTAACATGCCATAAGGATGTGTCTGCTCCTGCCCATGGGAACAGCTGTGGATTATTGCTACCAGCCATGAGGTACATTACTACAGCTCCACCATCAACATGCAATGCACAAGACCATGAATCCAGCCTTTGCATCCCAACACAAAGAGGTTGTTCCACCAGGACACACCTGTGCGGTGAGTCAGAGTCACCTCCGGCCCCTCGGTCTTGCTGAAGACAGCCCGAACGCTGACTTTATACAGGGTGTCAGGCAGCAAGTGGTCGATCCGGTAAGCCAACACTCTACTGCCCAGGTACTGAGTCTTGGCAATCTGGTTTTCTATTAAAAAAAAAATAAAAAGAAAAAGGATACTTCAGACCCTGTAGCTCACCAGTGAGGCTGGTGGCATCCCCTCCAAAAGAAACAGCCATTCCTTGCTGTACTATTGTTTCAGAGCGTTGAGTATTATCTTTGCAAAAATAAAAGCATGAACACAAAGAGAGAAGGAGCCATCGCCAATGGGTGCAAGAACATGGACCGTGTTTCTTAACAGTGAGATCTCTTTCCTACCCCAGGCAGTAGACCAGCAGTTTGGAAAGGTGCCTCCCATGGCCATGGCCACAGACATGGGTCTGTGCCAGGGATGAGCACATGAACCCTTTCTCTACTCACCTTTGCCTGCTCCCACGGGGCTCCAGGTGATTTTGAATTTGGTGGCAGCTGCTGTGGCACTCCATGCGATAGACAGGCTTGTGCTGGTGTAGGACATCACCTTGAAATTGGAGACGTAGCCAAGAGGCGCTGCAAGATGAGGACAGCATTAGACAGTACCCTGACTACTGTCCAACAGGACTCCTCATTGGCAGTATAATGAGGCCAAAATGATATAAAAAGGTTAAAAGAGTTATCTTTGCTTTTCCTCAGTGTATCATCATCCTCATCTGGTGAGACACTAGTTTGTACTGCTTGAGGTCTGGGCCATGCATGTACATCCTACCTCCCTCAGCACCAAGGAGCATATTCCGCTCTAGATCCAGGTGGGAGCACCTCTGCAAGCCCAGGACAGGCAGTACAGGGATCCAGGTTGTCATGAGATCCAGATCCCAGTGCTCCCACACTGCCTGCAGGGTGAAACACCCACCCAGAGCTCCCACAGATGCTGAACATCAGTGTTTGCCCTTGCTCTTCTTCACAGAGGTCAGCCCACGTTATCTCCATACTGTATTCCGGGGTTGCTAGTCACCTTCTGCCACTTTTAAACCTCTCCAAGGATACATCTGGTACTGTGCAAATCTCACCTCTGCTTTTTGATCATCATGCTCAGCATTGCTGCTTCCTCCCGCCTCTTCCCCAAGATGCAGCAACCTCAAAATTTGCCATGGGAGGACACGCTCTGGCCATCAACTAGACCACTCTCTTTCTCTATTTTACATGAAGAATTTGCACCTGCTGCCTCTTGTCCAAGCAACCTGATCTTCCAGCACAGCCCTTTGGAGTTTGCCCTTCTTTGAGGCAGGGGAGAGTCCTTGTGTGTTGGGTTTGGCTGGGATAGAGTTAATTTTCTTCATAGTAGCTAGTACTTGGATTTGGATTTCTGCTGGAAACAGCGTTGATAACACAGGGATGTTTTCATTACTGCTGAGCAGTGCTTACACAGAGCCAAGGACTCTTCTGCTTCTCACCTCACCCCACCAGTGCGTAGGCTGGGGGTGCACAAGGAGTTGGGAGGGGACACAGCAGGGACAGCTGACCCCAAGTGACCCAAGGGATATCCCATACCATATGACGTCATGCTCAGTATATAAAGCTGGGAGAAGACGAAGGAAGGGGGGGATGTTCAGAGTGATGGCGTTTATCTTCCCAAGTCACCGTTGCGTGTGATGGAGCCCTGCTTTCCTGGAGACGGCTGAACACCTGCCTGCCTGGGAATTGGTGACTGAATTCCTTGTTTTGCTTTGCTTATGTGCATGGCTTTTGCTTTACCTATTAAACTGTCTTTATCTCAACCCACGAGTTTTCTCACTTCCACTCTTCTGATTCTCTCCCCCATCCCACTGCGGGGCAGTAAGCGAGTGGCTGCATAGGGCTTAGCTGTTGGCTGGGGTTAAACCACAACACCTTGTCACCAGGCAGAAAGGACCACATTAGGATGTTCCTCTCCCTTTATCCCTATGGCTCCCTACAGCAGAATTTACTCAGGTCTCATCTCTTTTCCAGCTGAACTCTTTGACAATGTCAAAGACTTTGGCCATTGGTCTGGATTTTGGAATGCCTGAAAGCTCAGTGTGAGCAGATTGGGCAGTTCATATCTGAAGCTCTGCCCAAGCCCATGGCACATGAACAGATCCACTGCAGAGCATGTTGGCTCCAGTTTGTATCTGAAGACTCCCAGGCAGAAAACTCAAAGCCTTTGGGATTCATGGTCTCAGCTACCAGGCACAGCAGGTCAGCAGGGCAAAGGACCACCACCATGGTGCCTCCGACATGAGGTGATGAGAGTGGGGAGGCACAGTGTAAGGGCTTTGTAGGGATACACAAGGTTGAACCAAGGGTTGTGTGCTGTGGTAGCTACTTGAACGTCCTGCCTGAACTCACATGTCCTGGCTGAGGTTGTGATCCCTGGTCCTTCCACTGAGCCAAAGAGCACATAGAGGGAAATCACATACTTGGTGTCATGGGCCAGGTTGCGGAGCTGGTAGGCTGTGATCGACTTGTTAAGGGCCAGCTGGCGAGGACGGTCTTTGCCAAAGAACTCTTTGGAAGAGAGAAAATAAAACAGAAGAGGATAAATACAGAAGAGTCTGGAGAGCAGCTCTGTTGCCTGCTGGGAAAGACACCATGTTTTCCCTGGTAGTCCATCTCCAACCCAGCTGAACCTTTGTTGTAGGAGTCTTGTGTGTGCACTGGGGCAAGAAAGAATTTTCCTATGGTTATTTATAGAATTTGAAAGACTAAAGGATCCAAACCAGCTGAGAGGAACCAAAGGAACCAAGCAAGCTCTCACATCCAGGGTCCACAGTAATGTGGGCATGTGCTCTGTCCCTCCCCAGCATCTGCACGGAGTTGCAAAGCCCCTGTGCTAGATGACTCCATCCCACCTCTTCCCTGAGGACCAGGCAAGGTGGTGTCAGACTCTTGCTCTCTGTGTTGGGCTGGGGTCAGGCTGAACATAGTTGCTGCAGGGACCCTGCCTGCCGGCATTGTAGGTCAGGTCCAGGAATCATTTTGGTTTCAGTTCATGCCCTGAAGTTGTGGGAGAGGTTGCTCGGAGCAGTTAATGAGCTGGGCCTGCAGAAGGAGGTGGAGGTGATGCAGGCTGGAGGAGATCTTACCTGGTGTAGGACCCCAAGCCATTCGGTACCCGGTGGCCCCAGCAACTGAGTCCCAGGAGACCAGAGCGCTGTGGATGGATATCTCACTTACTTTCAGCATCTGGACGGTGCTTGATGCCACTGTAAGAGAGAAGAGTTGCCCACGTGCATCAAGGTCCCAACAGCTTCTAAGTGGCCCCCACAAACTGTACTAACCCAGACTGCTTTCTGCACCAGATGAGAGGCAGGGTGGTGACTACAGATGACACCAGCTCTGTGCTGCCAGCACAGCCGGACCCCCATATATGCCTACTTGGGCTGGCTCCCACCCCTGCTGCAAGGCACTCACCCGTTGTTGCTTTACCGCTCACCACCGGCCCCTCGACATCCCCAAAGATCGGGTTGATGGTGACGGTGTACTCTGTGCCAGGCTGCAGCCCCTGAATCATGTAGTAGCTGTAGGTGTTGCTGAGGTTCACATCCTGGATGCTGCCCTCTGCAAAGGAAAATCATGTCTGGACTCCCTTGGGTCAGACCAAGGAGGACCACCCTCCTTGGGTCTCCTTGTCTGGGAGAGCGGCAGGCAATCATACAACCACCCACTTGAGAACTACACAGTGCATGAGATTGAATGGCATGTCATCCTCCTGGCTTGTACATGTGACGACAAGGTCCTCAAGCCTTGGGACAGGACTTAGTGCAACAAGCACAAATCTTGGTTGAGGAGCTAATGTATATGCAGGTAGAAATAACCCACAGCTGCTTGGGCAGACCTCAGCGATCACCAGTAGATCAAGGCAACTCACGGCTTTGCAGGCCAAAGAAAATAAATCAGCTAGGAACGCACACATGGCCACATATGGGGCTGTGAGCAGTCCCTTAAGAGAGTCCACACTCAGCCCAGCCCTGGGTGACTCGGTGCTGGAGTTGTCCTGCCCTTCAGGATACTGGAGCCAGCTGATGCCTCAAAAGACATTTTCTCATTTCTGTATCCCTGTTGTGGACTAGAAGCCGCTCAGCTGAACCCCTCGGCATCGCTCTGGAGGAAGGCACGGCAGGAGAAGAGTTAAAACCTAATCCCTGGGGATCACACCCCGTTTCAGAGCAGCAGAGACCTACAGGCAGTAGCAGGTTGGGGTTTTGGGGGGGGAAGCTGCCATTTGCAGTTTGGTCACTGGAGGGTGCCATCTCCCCATCTTCTGCTCCACCAGCACCCTGAGCCCCATCCCCCTCCCTCTCCCACCTCTCATCCCATGGACCTTCTCTCCACATCAGCTGCTCGTTTATGTTTATCTATTCTCTGTCTTAGAAGTCAGACAAGAAAAATCAAACCCCTCCAGTGCCTGGGACGGCTGCACAGGGATGGGCAGAAGGTGTCTCGATCCCAACGCCACTGCACCCATAACGCATGGCCCCGGGATGAGAATGGAGCATGGGAGAAGGGCACCACAGGGCCCAGTGGCAAGGGTGGGCTGCCCCTTGGGATTTTTGCCACCCTTGGACATGGGATGAACCGGTGTCAGGTGGACGAGCTGCTCAGAAAGAGCAAACCTGGAGCGGAGGTGATGTGCCCTTGGTGCTTCATCTGAGGATGACCCACACTGTCCCCTCAAGAAGGGGTGTCCCCGCTCCAAAGACGTGGCAGGCTGAGCACGTGTGTGTGCTCCATTTCTAGCTGAGGTATCGAGCAAGGACTGGGTAAACAGCTGAGTTTTGGAGTGTGCCATTATTTTTTTTTTTTTTTCCCGGAGAGACATTCACAAAGCAGTAAAAGCATTTTTGTATCTTCCCTGTAAAGATTTTTCCCTTATGATGACCTTTGGAGCTGTTCTCTAATTAACCCCCCCCCTCCTCTGGTGGGAGATGTCTCCTTATTTCATAAGCAGGGGAACCGAGCCAGAGGAGAGTGTGCTATTTATTCCAAGCCTGTGATGGAACCCAGGTGTCCTGACATCCCATCCCGTCTTTGAACGACAGAAACATCCATCTCCCGAGGCCAAAATATGCCATCAAACCTGAATTTCTAACTTCTGCTCCCCCACACCAGCAATGAAAATATGTTTGGGTTCAGGGCAGGGGAGAGGCTCCAGCTGCAAATGCAGATCTGTCTTCGAACACCAACATTTGTCTGAGAATGAGGATGCATTATGGGATGCTGGGGGATAAAGCCAGGTCTTAGCACTGTGGAGAGAAAAGCAACAAGCACAGGTGCTTCCAGTCTGCAATGTGGTCCCTGTCACCCCAAAAAGGGGGTAACCCCAGATGCTATGGGGCTGTGGGATGTACAGCTCTGCATGGAGTATTTACCAGCTTCTCCCCAGCTATTAACCCTTTCCAGAGGTACTCAGATCCAGTAAATCCCGCACTAAGACCATTTTAACAAGGCTGGGTACCCGTTAGCTTGCTTTATGCAGAGCCAGAGCAGGTATTTTTGCACCCATGGCAGAGTTTACCATCAACACCCACGGCACAGCTCTCTGTTGCAAGCTGCCAATTTATCCCCACATGCAGAAAGCTCCACCATTCACAGATCCAAAAAAACCCTGTTTTTCTCCAGCTTCTTGTTGCATTTCTGGACACAGAAGGTATCAATGCACCCAATGTCTTGGGGACCTCACAGCTTTCCATGTCCCTGCCCACCAATGCATGCACCCCACTCCTGAGTCTCTACCTGCTGATGTCCAGGTGAGCCTGTACCCTGTTGCTCCCCGGATGGGGCTCCACCTTGCCTGAAGTGTGTTGGTGGTCTCGTTCTGCAGCAAGATGCTTTTCACTGGCAGGAGCTTCACTGGAAGGACAGGGAACAAACCTTTCAGAGCACCTACTTGCCAGTGGAGGACTTTGCTGGCTGCCCTCCCTGCATCACTGTTCCTCCAGCCCATCTTTCAGAAGGAGAGGGGTTTCCAAGGGCTTCTGCCCTGCCTGACAGGTTGAAGGCATCTCATAGAAGCAGTAGTGAAACCACCACATCTGTGACCACTGCTTTCCAGGACCAATGCCTCTAATGTGCCAACCTTGCTTGCTTTATGCAGTGTGGGTGCAAAACAGGAGGGCAAGTGAGGCTCTGGCAGATCTCCCACCCTTCCTCCCAAGCAGTGTGATGGTGTTCGAGAGTGTCCATGTCCATGCATGTGATAGGGGGAGAGCAGGGCCCAAGGACTTTTTCTGAACACTGTTCCTTAGATGCACACGTAGCTGCAGTGCCCACCAACTGTGAGGTGCTTATCAGCAAAGGGGGTGAACACAGCACCCAGGGCAAGAAGGGACCAGACACAGAGTCAAACCTCTTACACGTTCTCCCCACAGCAGTCACAGGCTGGCTCGGTCCCTGGGGGTACACTGCGTAGATGCCAATTTTGTATTCTCTATCCTCCTGCAAGTTATCCAGCACGTGGGAAGAGGCGTCACCCCGCAGAACCTGCTCGTATGTCATTCCTGGTCTGCTGGCTGCAAAATCAAGAAGAGTGATGGTGAAGCCTTCCCACTGCCTGAGGTCTACATCCCATGGTGATGTCTTCACAACATGGTGAAGAGCATGCACAGGAGCTGGTTCAAGTGCACGGTTGAAGTCTCCCATCCCATGTGATGTTGCTGAGGGTTACATCTGTAGCTAAGGCTTGACATATCCATGCTGTCCCCAGCTCTCCAGATCACACAGAGATGAGTGTGAGCCATACTGAAGGCTTGAACTCATCCCACATCCACAACAAAGCAGGCACTTGAGTATGAAAAATAGCCAGGGCAGGTCTGGATGTGACAGTGCAAATGGATACAAGGAATCCACAGCATCACACCCCATCTTGTCCTTCAAAAGCAAGTCCTTCAGAGGTTCCTGGAGGAACCATGCTGTCTGGAAGAGGCTAACCTGGCCTCCTTCCAGAGTAATGTCAGGAGCTTTGTGGTGAATTGTTCCTTGGACAAAATGGCACCTCTCTTGTCTTTGAGTCACTGCTCCTTTTAAAGTAAACTCCAAGAAAAATTAATAAAATCTGAACTCACCTCTGGGGAAGTAGATCTTGTAGCCTTCCAGCTTGCCCAGTGGAGGCGTCCAAGCCACCTTCAAGCTAAAAAGTCCTTCTTCTATCACACGAAAATTAGTGACTGGAGGCACAGGTGCTTTGGAGTACAAAAATATTGCAAAAATATATGTGACAGTGCTGTAATAAAGTGCCATGGCAAGGATCCTTGGAACATCTTTTGTCTTCAAGGACAAAGGTGAGCAGCACCAGTTCTCCCTATTCTCTCAGCTGAATCCTCAAAAGCAACCACTCCCCCTCTACAAAACCCTTGTCTGCTTGAAAAATGCGCTGAAAACCCCCAAGACAGAGTTCTTGTGGGCTTCCTCTTTGAATGGTGTTGGGAACTGTGAAATATCCACCCACTAGGCATTTCCTCCTGAGCAGAGAAAACTCTGCAGTGGTTTCACGCAGATTGAGCAAGGACACATGAATCAAATGCTACTCGTGCCTATGGACGCAGATCTTACAAAGAGGAGCCCATTTTGATCCATCCAGCCATGGCAGACAGATTTATAGCTTCTGCCTCTGGCTTCATGTTGGGGATAATAAGAGAGGAGATCAAATGACTTTATTTCCACCCATAAAGACATTCCATCTTATTGCTGGCAAGTACATATGAGTCAACCTCATTGAGGTGCTTTATTTATTCATCCTGTCGGAGATCTTCCCTCAAGAAGACAAACAATTTAAGACATTTCAGGGAGTGGGAGTGGGGGAAGAAACAAAAGACAAGGAAGAAAGGAATAATTCTTTTCAAAACCCCTCTGGCAAAGCAGGCTTGGTGCTTCATCCAAAACAGGGAGGAAAGCGGAATTAGTGCACCCCTTAAACTCTTAATACCTCTTAAAGTAGTGCAGAGACTTCTGGGACAAAACCTACTCCATCCATCACATCTGACCCAGTGTCTTGCACACCAGGGTTTGGCCAAGAGTGAATTTGCTCCTTTGTTTCCAAGAACCTTGTCATTACAGCCAGCCACATGACAGCAAAGGGATTTGGCATGGCAGATTGCAATCCAGAGGAAGACTAGATCAGTTCATGGGACCAGAGGTCACTACTTGGGGCATTTCCTAAAGACCATGATCATACCATCTTGGTGTTCACCTTGAGTGAAACGAAGCCCTAAGTGCATGCATAGTGCTAACCCAAACCTTTTGGACCATCCACTTCTGAAACAAGGTGTTTAGAACATACATCTCTCCATAAAACTCATGTCTGCCTTTCCCAACCCATGGCCTCCAAACGCTTCCTCATCCCAGGTACGTGGGTGGTACATTAACTGAATCCCAGCCTGGAGTCGTTAAATCCTTTTGCTTATTAAGTCAGATGATGAGAGCTATCCAACAAGCTGAACCCTCTGCTCTTAAGTGGGTTAACCATATGAGTTGCTCAGCACCCACTCACAATCCTGCACCCCACACTATGGACATTTGTACAGATGTTCCTCCTACTCATTCCTACCCATCCATCCCTCAATGCTCGCACATAGGGTTTTAGGGTTGTTTTTTTCCTGTGCCCACACACACAAGGAACACATGGGGATGATTGCAGAAGAGACACTCACTTGTTTTCCCCTTGACAGCTGCTGACTCCCCAAGGGCATCTGCATAGACGGCCCTCACCGTAAAGACATACTTGGTGTTGGGTTTCAAATCAGTCACCAGCACGGTACTTTTGTCACCATCCACCACAATCTGTCACACAGGGGGACAAAGGACATCATTATACCTCCACGACAGTAGAAGACCCCCATGTTTGCAACAGGTTAGTTGCACGAGGCTTCACATCTGATGTGAGGTGACTTCCATGAGCAGGAGCCTCTTGAAACGCACTAACTCAGAACACTGCAACCTTCAAATGATACCTGGGTTCACACTAACAAAGGACAGTGCCAAGGGTGGGTTTCACGAGTTAGCCCAGAAAAACTCCATGAAAACAAGGGTATGCATTAGAGTGAGGGTGGTCCCCAATCCCCTTAAAAAAAAAAAAGTGGAGGAAAAGCCACCATCTTTGCCAAAGAAAGTTTCTTTTAAACTCATAGAGGAAGGCTTCAACGTAACCTGAGGGCAAGAGAGGTGGAGACAACTTCTGTGTTTTCACTAAATTCTTATGAGATTCTGAAGCAGCCAAGGATGATCATTCCTGTTAAATACAATCTTAATAATTAATATAATTAATAATCTTAACCTTAATAATTTACACTTTCATAGCTTTGTTCTATTATTAGAAATCAAAGCTTTTAGGCATACATCTTCTATCCTTCAATCTCGCTCTCAAACTTCATGCAGTGACCAAGCTGGCACACATCAGCATCCCTCACACAAGGACATGGCAAATCCAACACCTAAGCATGTGGAGATCTTACCAAGCTTGGCACCAAGAGGAAGAGGAGATTCTGCTAGGGAAGCTGGATGGAAACTCCATCTCACCACAACAGCAATACCAAAATTAGCATGAGCAATCGACACACCTGCAAAACCGATGGTCTATCTACAGACCTTCACTTCAAGCTTCAGGAATTTATGCCAATGCACTGGGCTGTGGTCAGGATGGCTGAGCGTTATGGTGCCATCTCCTAACCAGGCTGTGCCATCAGCAGCCTCAGCAGATCCCCTAACATCGGGACCTACATCTGGTGCTCTGCAAGACAGGAATGCAACTCTACCTGTTGCTGGTCCTCTGAAACCAGCTGCCCCGCAGGCAGCAAGGGATGTAGATGGACACGGTACCCTGTCACCCTCCCTGTTGCTGGCATCCACGTGAGCCGCAGCGAGCTGTGGGTCTGCTCACTGACATGCAAATCCTGGGGGCCGATGATCTTCTCAGCTGCAAAGAGAGAAAGGAAAGGCCTTTGGTTTGGACCCTGGTGGTAGCAGTGCTGTACATGTGCAAGCTGTTTGTTGATAGAGTCAACACATTCGATGCAGAGAAAGCCTCGGGTATAGATGGCTCTCACTTAGACTGAGAGCGCAGAGGCAGCTGGGATCTGTTTCCAGGCCAGAGCCACGCAAGCAGGTTTTCTTTTGGCAAATTGCTTGACAGCACAAGAAGGGAAAACAAAACTGGTTCTGGCTACGTCTCCCCTGTGAACATCTGCTTAATGCATAGGGCATCAGCTCCTTCCTGCCTTTCTCCTTACTGCCACCAAAAAACAGTCTGGCAGAAAGCTTGAACTCTCCATGAAAGGTCACAGGAAGCTCTGAAGTGCTACAGAACCACAGAGACAGCAAAAAAAAGACCCTTTAAGGATACAGATGAAGTTCTCCCAAGCTCTTTCCCAAGCTTTTAACTCATCTTCTCATGAGTTTGTGTGCAAAGAAGGGGGGGAGGAATTCATTGCCATCACCTCTGGATTCACTGCAACATCAGCATTTCTTTAGGGAGAGATCTAGATCTCTTTGGAGATCTCTTTGGCTGTTTGCATTTTCTGCAAGCAATGAAGTCATCCAATCCCTAAAGCTCCCTTGTGATGAACAGAGGGGACATGGGAGGTCCATCTCCATGGTGAGACTGGTGTGTCCACCAGTTCAGACCAGTGTGAAGGGGCTGGTTCGAGCAGGTGGAAAGCAGGATGAAGGGAGAGCCCTGACACACCTTGCACAGTCTGCTTGATGGGCCGTGGTGGTTCTGAGGCAGTAAAACAGAGCCTTCGAGAGAGTTTGGGGGCCACGTTGTGGAGTAAGTGGAAATCTTCAACGTAAAGCACATGCTCTGCAGTGGGCTCTGAAGCTATCTTGTTCAGTTCATTCTTGTCAGCATCCTTAATTCCTAGATGAAGAAGAGGAAAGGAGGACATCAAACACCATCCATGGGGCAGGCCAGGCATTGGCAAGGGCTGTCAAGAGCAAGTGGGAGCAATGTGCTGGCCTTTTGAGTTTTACACCAGCTTTGGAGTCATGCTGCCCACGGCAAAGGATGAAACAAGTAATGGAGTCTCAAGCTGGATGGGCAGAGGTGAAGCAGATGAAGCCTCTTCCATCAGGGAAAAGAGGTCAAGGTTTTCTCCAGAGGCATGTTAGACATTGCCCCAGGGTTTTCGGCTGCTAATGGGCCAAGACGTGGAAGATTCTCTTGGGGTGGAGAGTGAAAAAGAGCAGGGCAGGATCTGGCGTCATCCTTCCCATTGGATACAGGGACATTTCTGCTCTTCTAATGGATAAGCAGACAATGGGACTTTGGGAAGCTGCATGAAAATTGTGGGGATTTCTTGTGGTTGAATTAAAAAAGGGGGGAAAAACCCCAACAAACCAACCCTCCCCTAATTTTCATTTCTCATTGGTCCAAATTGACCTGCTTGCTCTCTATTATGAAACACCATCACCATCCCCTTCTTCTTCCCTGAAATGTCTGGTGAAGGGAAGGATTTGCTTGTAATAAATGGCTGAACTTAGTTCTTGGGGGTGGGAGGAGCACTGAAACAATTCCTTGCCCAGGAAATTATTCTGATGGACATTTTCAACGTAGCTGAAGTCAGTCTCTGAACCCCATTAAGAGAAACCTTCAAAAAGTAAAAACATTTCATTTTTGAAAATGTCACATCAAAACATTTTGACTTTTATGGAACTATTTATTGAACTCCTCCTGAATTCGCAAGTAGTTTTGACAGACGCAAACCCGCAGATTTCCACTGAATAAATCAGCTATCGACAACAACAAAAAATACCCAAGCACAGCACAGATTTGATTTTCCCGTACTTGCAGTAGTTGCTAGCGGCTAAGCCTGGGGATGGGTGCGATTTTTAGAGGAGGGGGGTGTCGAGCATCAGGAATCTTCCCCAGTGCATAGACTGTGTGTTGGTGCACATAATTGGTGGCAATGCTGCATGTAACTTAGTGTGTCCATACGTACCTACAGCAAACACCGTCACCCCCTGATCCTGCAGGACCTGGGCTTCATCATCAACTGAGTCGCCGGATTTCCCATCCATGATCAAAACAACTACCTACAAGAATTGGCGTAGGAGCCAGAGAATGAAAGATCACAACATGAGGAGGTCACAGAGACGGTTGCAGGATTTTCACACTGACAAGCCAGACCTTGGATGAAGTCCCTCTCTCTAAAGGTGTGGGCACTTGAAAATAAATCCTTCAATAACCCACACCTCTGTGGTAACTCACATGAAATCAGCTTTTATGAGCATGAGCTGGGAAGGAGCAGAGCATAAATGCTGCTGGTTATGACAGTATCTTCTCTGCACATCTCCTCCTGCTTGGCTGTGTCCCACCTCTGCTTGGGACAGTAACTCTGGCTCCAGAAGGAGATTAATGCCAGCACAGAGAGAGGATTTACCCCTACAAGTCCATAAGAGCAGCACTTAAAGGAGGACTCAGCCAGACCCTGGACAACATACTTGGCTGGTGGCACCTAGATGGTGCTATCAGGTGGTAAGAAACTCTCTCAGACACTTCTTGGGTTTACATGACAGCTGACTTAGCCACCCCAGATCTTTCAAGCTTTTTGGACAGTCCCATGTCAGATCACGTAGCAGGAGATATGGCCAGCACATGGGATGCTATAATGAAAACATACGCTGCTGCAACACCTTTAAGCAGATGGTTGAGGTGGGTAGCACATCCCACCTGTAGCATCATGTTCTCTCTCCTGCTCTGTGACTCAAAACAGGTCTCACTGACCACAGCGATCACACCACACTGATCTCATGGATCACACAGACCACATTTGGCACGCAGGATCTCAGAACAAAGCAGAAGGTGCAGCACCAAGCTGCAAATGTGGGAGGTCCATGGGAGGCAAAAGCTGGCTGTGATAGTTTCAGACTCAATTTGTGGGCTGTAGCCACTCCCCATGCAGCTGCCCTCTTCTTGATTTCAAGACCATCATCGAAGCAGAGCAGAGCGAACTGTTTCGTGCAGCCTACAGACCAAACCAGAATGCAGCACCTTCTCTTTGGCATCCTCAGCACCTCTCAGAAATTATGAATAAAATAATTTTTTAAAAAATGATCTGAAGAAACCAATGACCCAGAGCTGATATCTGAAAGGTAAAGACACTGCAATGTGTCTGCTTGTTGAGTCAGATGCTAACTGTATTGCCACTCTGTAACTGGAGTGGATGTTGCGGACCATTAGCAACAGCTACTGGCGCCAACATCACAACTTGTCTCCTTGTCTTAATCATGCCTTGAGCCTGCTCTGTTAGCTTATGCCGTTAAGTGCTCTGAATTTGGGTACTCACCTGGAAGCATTTAAGACTGGAGCACTGGGTCCCTCTGCAACCCGTGGGGAAATATGAGCATTTTTAAAAAGTGAGTCAGTCCTTTGAAAATCCGGAGGTGCCTGTCTCCTTCTATCACCAATAAAGTGACCTGAAACTGGATGAGCTCCTAAATGAGGTACCTCAACTGCAAGCCAAAAGTCAGATGGAATAAATAAAAACCAAGTGGCTCATTCATGCCTTCAGGTAAAGAAGTTGGAGGTCTGATCCCTACCAAGGATGACACCATGGAAGTAATCACAGAAGGTTGCTCACCTTTGCTGCATCCTCTCGCAGCGTGTCCAGGCGAGACATGGCGTGAGCTGCAAATGCCAGAGCTGACCTTGTTTTTAAGCTGCTGCCTTTGAGGGAGAGATCCTGAATTGCCACCAGCATTTCTTCGATGTTCACATAATCCGTGAGCTCAATACTCATCCTGGGAATGAGAAATGGGGGAATATGGGTGAATAAGAAGCAAGAAAACACTGTTGTTACAGCAAGGATGCAGTGCTAATAGTAATGACCGGCAATAATTTTGACATTTAACCGGTCACACTAGCTCCTATGTAGGTAAGGAGACCTCTTCACAGTGGTCAAGGGAGTCCAGGGTATGAGCCCCAGAACCATGTAACCACAAAATGCTATTAAAATTGAATGACAGTGAATTTCTCGTGGCTGCACTAAATGCCAGCCTCCCTGCCATGAAAGAGCTCCTCATGGCCAAGCACATCTAGACTGCTGGGGGTTGAACTCTTGCTCTGCTCTTGCAATGCTTCAGCAGAGCAGCAAGAGCTCTCTAACCATGGGGACATGGTTACCCATCTAGAGTTAAAGGGCTATAGAAACCCCGGTGCTGGTGATAGAGGATGGACTGACCCACCTTGGTTTCTCCCCGTAGAGTGCCACTGCCAGCCGGATGCCTCCTTTGCCCATCACCACATTCTCAAAGGAACGAGCCATGCTGCCGATGAAGTCCTTGACCAGCTTGGAGCTCTCCCTCCCTGCGCCCTGTGACTGCCCCACGAGGAACAAAATGTCGGCCACCTCCGCCGTCCTGCATGCTGAGGGAGAAGAGGGGCAGGAAGGCTTATCTCACACCATGCAATGAGCCAGCCAGGAGATAAACCCCTCTGAGTCATGTGAACCCCTGAGATATTGCAGCTAAGGAAGAGAGACCATGCTTAGTCCTACTGAAGTGGGTAGTCATGGGCTTCCCAGGGCAACAGGCTGCTTCGTTCACTTTTATTTCCTCCTAATTCCCTGTTTGTCTGTTCTTACTCAGGGGAAATTTCTCATTTGAAGCACAAACACCGAGACCCAGACCTATCAAGGCATGCAGGTCTGTAGAACTGAAGTGCCTGGGGGTTTCACATGCCCAGAGGCAGACATCGACACCTGAGCCACGCACAACTGAATTTTGGGAACGTGGCAGCTCTGCCACCCCGCCAACCATCCTGGGCTTCTTACATCAGAGTCTCCAGAGCCAATGGGAGACACCCATACAGACATGGGGCCACCTGGCCACCCATGCTTTGCCAGCCCTAAAACAACCAAGTCTTCCAGTCTTGCACAGAGAGAGCACGGGACGCTCCATGCATTCAGTTCTGCAATACTCCCCTCTTGCCAAGCTGCCAGCGGCCCCAAGCATGAAAAGTATCTTGTGCAAAGAATGAATAATTTGAGCATTTTCCATCCAAGTCAGAGCTATCTGATGACAGCTGGCAGGGAAGGGGCAGGTGTACAGTGAAATTTGTTTAACAAACATCAAGGCACATTTCCTTTTACAGTGTTCAGTCTCAATCCAATTTAATTTTCTTTAGGCATCCAATAAGTACATTTCATGGACAGAAATCTGATGACTTTTAGGGATGCTTAAATTAATGAAGGCTCTACAAGGGAAGTTCAAAATTTATATTTTATTTGGTGTTTCTCTCCCTTGCAGGTAGATGCTGAGTTATTACCGTAGGGCTGCTAAAAAGTAAACCACGCTGACTGCTGGAGGAGAGCTTTTCGTATTGCAGACTTGTTCACCAGGACTGGGCTCAACATCTTCACTTTTTTCTTTTTTTTTCTCCATTTTGTGCTGCTTTGGACTTCACCTAGCCACTGCCTTGACTTTCAGCTGCAGGTCTGGAAATCAACTCGCACCCAACCAGGCTGCATCAATTGTTCTGGTTTGCTGGGGAGATATGGTAGGCGGGTTTCTCATGCTTCTGCTGCAATGGAAACTCTGTTTTAGCTTGGCCTCTCCAATTTACCTGACTTTTATCCCATTTCTATAAGCAGACTTCCAAAAACTCTTGGAAAGATGCAGGTTTTGTGCTCTCATTCATTGCTGTGTCCCTGATCAATCCCCTTTGGCCATACAGCAGGACAGAGGATCATTTGCCAGCTGCAGGTGGATGGCAGTCCAAGGGTCTTTGTTTCGGGAGTTTTCGGTTTCTCCATCTTTCTTTATGCCTCCTGACACTGAGCTCATCATGACTTAACACTTCTGTTTACTGTAGAAATATAATGACTGGCTGGTTTTGGTTTAACTTGTACCCAGCTGGGAATATAAAGCACTTTCCCTTGAGAAAAATGGGAGACAATTATTTCAATTTTCCTTCCTAGAGCTGTTGAGATCTCCCTTCCCTTCTCAATCCTCCATAAGTGCTTTTCAACTGAGATGTCAGAGGTGTCTTGGAGGCAGCTCAGCTGCTAATAGCAGATCACCATAAGCTCTTTTCCAAGCTGCTGCTTCTATTTTGGATCTACCTCTTTTACCTAGCTTGGACCTTGATGCCTCTGTTCTCCCAGAAGTACTTGGAGGGAAGGCAATGGGAGTCCTCCTTGGCTCTGACCTCAGAACAGATGAAAATTGTTCAACAGCTTCCCAGGGTAACCACAACCTGGATTACCACAAGAAAATCCCAACGAAGGTTCAACAAGACGGAGAAGACCATCCACCAGCCCTTACAAAATCACCCACCTCTTGGAGCTACTCAAGGCAGTGCAGACAGCTTTTCCTGGGAGACCTGCATTTTTGGCCCTGATCTGGAAAACATACTCAAAATGCCATTGGTATCAGAGGGACCTTTGCCACCTACCTGTCCACATCCCAAATCCCCAGAAAGCCTCCTCCATCTGTGCCTGATTCTTCAGACTCTTGCTCTCCCTGCACGATGCTCCTGCCCTTGTTTGCTTGCAGGGATAACGATGACAAAGACAAGCAAGAGCTCCAAGTGATTAAAAAGGGCAGGATGGTGCCCCTTTCTTTATAAAGGGGAAACCAGAACCAATGCTGTGAGATGCTGAGCTAAGAGCTCAGCACCCTTCTGGAGGGGCTCAGCTTGGCAAGAAAACCCGAGCGCATTTGCGCTGCTTGGATCAGGTACCTGAAGCTGTCATTGGAAACATGTGATGTTAAGCACATTTGGATTGGTACCTTCTGGAGAAAATACCAATGCAGACAGCTATATTAATCACAGGGGGATATGATTTTATTTGAAATTTTCCATGCACCTCCAAAATTACCACGTTTCATCAATCACAGGTTTGCCAGAGACATCTGTAAACGTTGATTTATTGCACTGTTCCCAGCTTTGAATTAAATAGCATTATAGTCAAGTATATTGGCTTAATTGACAGACAGGAACTTAATCAAGTTAATTTTGTAGCTGATGGCAAAGCTTCCATTAACTCCTTGTTGAATGTACTGGATTTAGTCCAGGTGAATTTGCACCTTCAAAGCCTGGGGGCTTGTTGCTGCAGAAGAAGGAGGATGCACTGCCTCATACCCAGCCCCATGACAGTCCTGGGACCTCTGAATTCACTTCATAGGATGCTCACAAGGAGCCTCCCCCTTCTGTAGGACCCCAAGGCTACAGAAACATGCCATGGATCATGCTGTAACTCCATGAGAGGGTCCTTCTCTGGGGTCCTTTTGTCTCCTTCCTTTTGGGCCCAGCCCCTCCACCCCAAAAGTTCTCTGTGGGCTTGCACAGGCAATGGGAAGCCAGGGAGGAGGTGAGCCCTTGTACCATCTTGACTCTCTAAATAGCAGCAGGAGGCTTCAAGGCTGCCTTAAGATCTTCTCTCTTATATCCCCTGCATGGTGGCTTCTCCCAATTCTTGGAGATCTGAAGAGGAATCAGAATGGGACAGGTTTTCCCTTTCTCCCCACCCTCCTCTCGAGCAGCTGAGGTGGGACAGTATCAGAGGTAGGACACCAAGCAGAGCCCTGATTTCCCCATAAATCCCCATACAGCAAGTCAGGTCCTGCCTGCCTTTTGGGGCCAGCTGAGCTGCTCTGTTAGACAGATGATCCCAACCTAAAAGGACTCTAATGCAAAAGTCAAAGGCAACAGCACTACAGCTCCACCCTGACAGCTTCTGTGTGTGTATCCATGACATTAGCAGAAACAGCTGCTTGGAAAAGGTCTTTTTCTCCCTGCTGCGTCTCAGCATCACCCCCAGCAGCTGCGCTCATGGTATCCCGCTTGTCACATACCTTCATGAACGGCCATGGCTCTGTACTGCACCACAGCCACTGCCAACGCAAGGACCTGGGCATACGACATTTTCCTTTTCCTTGGGAAGAAGTTCCTTCTTGGTTCCTGGAGTCAGCACACAGCCTGGAGAGTCATTCATCTGCAGGAGAAAAGAGGCTTTAACGCATGCCATCTGAGTACGATGCTCCCACCTGCCTACAGTGGCAAGGGAAGCTTTTCTCCAGCTACAAAGGCTCATCTTGGCTTAGGCAATTGGCATTAAAGTCCAGAATCCAATTAGTGGACATCCACTAATTCCTGTAACTCTTTGCTGGTGCTGGCTACAGGGGAGAGCTCAGCTTTGCTCCCCCAGCTCCTTTTGCTAACAGCACCCTTTCAGGCAACACCCACCTTAGGCAATTGAGCCTAAATGTGAATAATAGTGGTGTGATGAAAGAGGGAAACATCTGCTGCCTCCATTACGCAGGGAGGAAAGATCACTAGGAGATCACTGCAGACAACAATCACCTGCACTCAAGTCTTTATTACCCCGTTTTGGGACTACCCTTCAGGTTCCTAAATCCAGGATTAACTGCCTTGCACTTGCTGCCCTTGGAGATCCAGCCCACCATCACAGAGCAGCTGAAGGGGGCTGAAAGCTCTGGTTACTGCCTATGGACAGTTTAGGGACTCCCTGTAGAAGTGCTGACAGCTCGTTAGGACTACAGAACTCTCCCTCTGTGAAGCAGGGACTTCTCTCTACGAAGCAACAACTGCAGCAGAAGTGGCATTACCAGAAGGGGGTTTATTCTTTTTTAACAGGCAATAAAAAAGGGTTTTTTCCTGTTCTGAGCCTCACCTGCTAGTCTCAGGCTGAGCAGATTTCGCAGGGAGACATGGACTACTTCCAGCGTGGAAATCACAGATGTGGGGAAAAGACAAGCTCCATGACTTCATCCAGCCTAGCTCTTTGCCAAGGCTGGATTGTTCCTTTCAGTTACCAACATGCAACCTCAAAATCACGTTGCATTATAGATCGGGTCTCTTTTGGAAAACAAGGCTGAGTTCCTGTGCACAGCCTGGGATAACCCCACCTAAATGAATCCCCAAATGAGCAAGATGAAGGGCAAGTGCCTGGAGCAGCCTGGTGTGCATCTAGACTGCAGGGGCACCAGGGCTGTGGTCACCTTGCCCATCACATAGCTACATCCCTCTCTGAGACCCTCAGGACTTAAGTTCCCCTAACGTGTTTTAACTTGTTCTGTGTCCTTCCTTCCTAATTCCTGTCAAAACCTCTCTGCAGTGCTGCCATTAGTTGATGTGGAGACGGTTTCAAAGCAAAAACACACAACCCCCCCCCCCCAAACCAAAATGTGAAACAAGCAAGTGCAGGCTTTTTAACAACAGGAGTAAACAAACTTCTGGAAAATTAAGTAATGTAGGAGAAGTGCAGAGCTGAGACCCAAGAAAACTAATTTTACCCCCACCTCTTTTGCAAGAATTGTGTTATGAGCTCTGGCAAGCTCACCCCATCGCCCCTGAGATCCCAGCACCCTTCTTGCGATGCCGACCTGGGAGCATCCCCTTTTCCCTTCCCACTTAATCCTCAGCTCTGTAGGGCAGGGTCTGTCCTGGACTATAACAAACCCTTCATAGAGCAGGAAGACAGCAAAACCTTTGACTGGGTTTCTGAGGTTTGTGTTAATAATATTTAAAACATATGCCCCTCCAGAAATGTTCCTGTGGAGACTCTTATTTCAATGTTTTTCAAAAAGTGCCTCCTTCCACCCTCTTGTCTCCTCTTCTCCTTCCATCATTCACACCTCTACGCTTCCTCCTGCCCAAAATACAATCCAAGTGAAGAATAATTTAGCTTGTCAACCCAACGCACTGTTCTGAGAATTTCCATATTTAAAATAACACTAGAAATGCAATATAATATGTACTGAGATAGCACATGTAGATCCTTCGAGAGCACATGTCCATCACAACAGCTGGCACTGAAGTCTGCTCTAATGGTCTTACTGGTTTGTACAGGGAAGGCTCCCCAGTTCCTTCAAACAGCACTGTGACCAGCTCACCCAATCCTGCCCCAAGAATACCAGCTGTCACATTGACACAGAAGAAGATCCTCCAGAATTCTGATTTTCATAAATGCCTCATGGATCCCTGGTGCTGTAGCTGGGGCAGAGGAACCTGCATGTGTTAGCGCATCCACTGCCATGGGTCACCCCATGGGGTCCTACCTGGTGTCAAGGTCCTCGAGCACACAGACCATCCCTGGAGGCCAACAGTGCCCGTGGCCCTCATTGCCTTTAGCACTGTCACCAATCCATCCCATGTAATTAAGAAAAGATAGACAGTAAATTAACATGCTCCAAATTCCTTGCCTTCAGAGTAGGTTTGTAAGCACCTTCTACCTTCAGACATGAGGCTTGATGTTGGACTCAAGATAAATCATATCTCCTGTCTTTCCAAATAAGACATATTCTCCTCTCCCATCTTATCCTCTCCATTCCTTCCCTGAATCAAGGATGAAATTTCCTTGCTGCTTGAACCCTTGGGATAGACTGAGCCCAAAATGCATGGAAAAGAATCATTCAGAAAAAGCTTAAATGATAACAGAAATCTCCACTCCTCTTTGTAATTCCAAGGAAATGGTGGTTTATTCTAAAAGGAGAATAAGAAAGTCCCTCTCTGACAAGGCATGTACCAATGTCATCCTACAGCAGGTCTGCTCCAGAGCATCAGCTTCCTTGCACCACCGGGCAGAGTGCTGACCCAAGGGCAGGGGTACATACTGCCCTGGTGATGCTTTGAGAGTGATATGGAGCCAGCAAGGCACAAAGGACAGGAAAAAAAAAAAAAGCGCCTCTGAATCTTCAGCATTTATTGCCCAAGTTCACACATATGCAGGAAATATAAAAAAGCCTAAGCAACAAAAAGTTAAGTCTAAGTTTCTGCAGTCACTTTTTTTTTTTCAGATAAATATTTGACATGTGATTCTTCATTTTTTGTTGTTGGGGTTTTTTTTTTCCTCCAGCTCTGATATTGTTTAATGCTTCAGCACGGAACAAATACAGAAAAAATGAATATTAACATAGCAATAGAAAAATAGTCATATAAGGAGTAAATCCTAGAAGACTCTGCAGAGGCAAAGAAAAAGCACATTGAGCCCCGGGCCTCCAGTGAGTAAATGTTAAGATCCACAAACGCAAAGACCCTGTGGGTGTAGAAAGGCTCGAGCTCAGAAGAGCCACACCTTGAATTCACATTGCAAAGGTGAGGAAAAGGATGCAAAAGGGTTTTGTAATCTGTGTGCCACAAACTAAAGACATTTCCTACCAGATATTAATTCATATATACGCACGTATGCATACATGTTGACCATTTACGTGTTCAATTTTTGAACATGTTGAATATTTCTGATTTTCATTACATATATTTTTTAAATTGTACTTAAAGCCATGCTCTGCCTTCTAGCAGTGAGCTGCAGATGCTCACCTGGGTTGAAAACCCACCCAACTCCTACTGCTGCGTTGCCAGTGTGGGTCCTTGATGGATGACTGCAGCACATCACATTACAGATGGTCTCCAATTCAAGTGTGTTATTATCTGACTTTGAAAGGAAAACGAGTCATTTTCCCTCTTGTTTCTCCCCTTCTTGATTACTTCCAAAATTGCACTGCATTTAAGAGTTCACCTGGGTACGAAATACCAGCCCTAGGTGAGAAAAGGCAGTGTGGGCCATTTATGTCAGGATGAAGAGCTGTTCTGCAACTTCTAGACACTCGCTCCAACACCTCCCTCCATCCACAGACCACCAGCAGGCCAAAATCACACCTGGGCTTGCTCCTTCCATGTGCTCCATCTTTTAGGATATGATATTTTGGGTAGCAAGGCTGGTGGAGGACAGCCATTTGCTCTACCATCATTGTCCAGCTCAGGGCAGCTCAGTTCACCTAGAGCCACCAGCCCACTTTAGGTGCCACCACGATGCTCATCATATACATTACATATCAGAAAACTTAAATCCAGCAAGTCTTAGCTGATCTTTGCAGACATTGGCTGCCGTCAGTCCCTGTCAAACTGCTACAGAGCACTTTAGAGAAACCTCGTAGAAGCAGGGAAAACAACCCCATAAACTTCAGGGTTTTGCAAGGAATCCCAGCAATTTCCTTGATCTTTTACTGTATCCCGGTAAATAATTTATAGGGGCAACTTCTCTGGGTTTTACAGTTCCTTGAACAAATTACCTCCAAACCCCATAAAATCGATGGACCAGGTTCTTCCTTTCCCTCACCTGGATCAGACGACAGAGCTGTGGGAAGCCTGGCAAGATGCAAGAGGGTAAGAGAGGAAAAAACCCAAGTCTTACACACTTGCAGTAGTGCCAGGGGCTGGGCTGTTCCCCTCCATTTATTTTTTCTTGTGTATGTTTGCAATAAATTCTTCTTCCCTGGTTTTTTTCCCCAACAAATTTTGGAATAAATAAATAAGCCCTGTCAACAAGGTCTATCTAAAAGGGGTGAGACCCAGTGGATTTGCAGGGCTGGTGCCTGCCTCCCATTTGCCTGTGGCTCCAGCTGATCTCACATATCTCCTGTCCCAGGATCACCCATGCCAGATGCTGATAACTCCATCCAACAAATAACTATCCCTGTTGCATACAGGCAGAAAAACTACATTACAGAGCTGTGTCTGGGCATGCATAGCCTGCCCAGGGGATCCGTGACACCCACCACTGTGCCATAGCACATATAGCACAAGCAGACAGACCCTCTGCCTCACAACCTAGCAAAATCTTGACAACTTCAGCCAAATCTGACAGAGGGAAGCAGATCACAAATGTTTTCATGTAAGTTTCCTGAAAACAGCCAGCTGGTCAGAGGAAGGATAACCTATTTGCAGCTCCCTCTGAAAGACTGCAGGCTGAGCACAACCTTATATTAGCCAGCAGAGAATCCACAAGGGCATCTCCTTATGAAGGCTCCAGCTGAAGCCAAGGCTTCAGCTACATCTCACCTTACTACATGTCACTGTACACAGTCCAACACCCCAGGCTCCTGTTCATGAAGCACTGCCAGGCA